GTGTGTGTGTGTGTGTGTGTGTGTGTGTGTGTGTGTGTGTGTGTGTTTGTGTGTGTGTGCGTGTGTGCATGTGTGCATGTCATGACAGCTGGCTATGCAGTACTGGAAATACACTCTTGGATTTAACCCTAACAATCATCAACTCCCCCACCAACCTCCAATCATTCCTCCAAACCTCAACCCTCCCATCAACGTGGGTCCTAACTTCTGCTGGGAAACACACACACATACACAGGCACACAGGCTCCGTGCCAGTGACTCTATCAAGCAGTGTCACAGTGTGTATCAGATTAGTGATCACAACTTTGTCTCAGCATAAACATACACACACTGATGGATCCTGGACGTCTGCGCTCTCTGTCGCTCTTCATAAGAGTGTTTATCATTTCTGCCACAGGTAAGAACGCTGGATTATCAACCTGCTGCCATGTTTGATAGAGATCACACTATATATCCAGGGCATGTGCATGAATTAGTGTGAATTCGTGAGGTCAGATATTTAAATTTGTACAGACTCAATGCTAAAGTTATAAGGAGTTGAGTAAATACAGTAATGAGAAAGTTGCACTATTCTGCACAAGGGCCTGATTGTCATAACCTTTGACCCAATAACACAATAATATCAGACATTACTTTTATGGTACTATAGTAATACTGAAGTAAAGTATGAGTAAAGTTATGACACTGAAACAAACTGTTCACCACACAATGATCTGCATTTGTCTCAAATATATATTGTTTCTTAATTGTGCTATGTTTAATGAAGTATAACTAGAAAATTGGAAACATTTGTTTTGCTTTTTATCACCAATAACCTGTGTTTGTTTGTTTGTTTGTTTGTTTGTTTGTTTGTTTGTTTGTTTGTTGATGGTTGGTTTGTAACTAAGATTACATAAAAACTACAGGATGCATTATCATGCAACATGGTGGAAGGATGTGCTATGGGTCAGGGAAGAACCTATTCAATTTTGCCATGGATCCGGATATGGGGGGGAATCCATGATTTTTTATACCTTTTTTTAACATTGTCAGATATTGCATTTTTCAACAATTTCACAGTTTGTCAGAAGAATGATTAATGTTTCTTGATGAAAAAAATCAAGCACATTCAGGAAACGTCTATGAGTGTGTGTAATTTGGTGCAGTTTGATTGGAAATAAGGGGACTGTTGGGCCTTTGAGGTTGTATATGTGCTCAATTTAGAGACATTTGAGTGAAATGTGTTTCAGTGTAAAATTCATTGTTGCTTTTTCAGTCTGTTGGTAAATGAGACCAACTGTTTTTCACCCGCTCTCTTCAGCACTGCACTCACTGACCTCTTGTACTTTCATCTGCAGTTGTTCGTCAATTAATTATTTAGCAAAAACTACTGGATTGATTTCCATGAAATTTTGTGAATGTGAATGTGTCTAAACGGACATATCAAGGATTTATTTTTCACTCTCTTTAATATGGCAAGATAAGACCTAAGCCAAGGCCCTCTTCTAGATTAAAATTTATTTTCCTACATAATCACCTCATTTAGTTTTTCCAGATCCAGATTTTTATTTGTATCTGCACAAAATGAATGTGAATTTGAGTTTCACTTGAAATTCCTCACCCCCATGTCTGTGTGGTCTGTCTGCAGCATCTGCCGTCAACCTCGAAGGGGAACTTTTCAAGGACTTGATGAGGGGCTACAACAAGAACGTTCGGCCCATGGAGAAGAGCGGGGAAATCACCCCAGTCTACATCAAGATGACGCTCACCAACCTCATCTCCCTGGTGGGTGAAGTTCACTCTGTGGTGTTTCTGATTGGGCTGCCCAGGCCTTTCTTAACATTGTTTCCTCAACTACCTCTCCTCAGAATGAAAAGGAGGAGGCCCTGACCACCAGCGTCTGGATAGAGATGGTGACCACACACACACACACACACACACACACACACACGCTTCATCTGTTGAATTCTTGTTTCAAGGATGCTGAATTTTATCGTGGCACATTTACAAAACACGGTGAAAAGTCAAACCTGCAGTGTTTTTGTTTGTAGCAATGGTGTGACTACAGGCTCAGATGGGACCAGCCGCCCAGGTCGGCTCTGTACGGAAACATCACCTCTGAGCTACGTATCCCATCCAAGAGCATCTGGCTGCCGGACGTCATCCTGGAGAACAAGTGAGTGTATCAACCTTCTCTTATGAGCATGTTTAAAAGAAGGTTCCGATATCTGTTCAGTCAAGGAACAAAAAATATAAAAAAACTTTTAAAAAGTTTAGTCAGAAGAGACTTGAAAAATGAATCATACACAACAAGAGAAGACGGTAATGTAGAGTAAATGAGAGTATTTTCAGTGCTTGGACCCCTCGTTATGTAATTGCTGTTACACAACATCATATTAAAAACATATTTCGGAGGCAGTTTTTCTTCCCTTGCCTCCAATCCTTAAAAATTGCACGCTTGTGGAATATCAGTGAGGCTGAGAAAGACAGCTTATTTTTTTGCTGTATTTGCTGGATATACAAATCTGTGCATATAAAATTCTCATCAATAAATTCCCGTGTGTGTGTTTTCGCTCAAACAGCCAACAGTTAATTCAGTTTCTCTCTCCTCTGTCTTCTGGTCTGCAGTGTGGATGGACAGTTTGAGGTTGCTCTCTATTGCAACGCACTTGTGTCTCCGAACGGCTGTGTGTACTGGCTGCCTCCTGCCATCTACCGCAGTGCCTGTGCCATCACCGTCAACTACTTCCCCTTTGACTGGCAGAACTGCACCATGGTCTTCCGGTGAGTCGAGGCACAATCTGATGGGTTTGGACGATTGGCCAGGGAACGGTGCATTTGAAGTGCAATTACCAAACCCAAGATTACAAAAACCCTGCAACTCCACATAAATCAACCCAGTTCATGTAAATGTAAGAGTAAAGTAAATAAGAAATTACAATAATAAAATGTATATAAATTATAATATAATATAGCCTTGTAACTTTGTTTTTAATCAATAAATTATTTTGTGAATATTAAGTTTTTTGTAATTGTTTGTATTTTTGTGTTTCTTTGCATAACAGGA